AATCTTAGAAAGGGACTGGTGGTGGGGAGGATGCAAGGGAGATAAGAGAGGGTAGAGCAATCAGAATACTTTATATACATTAATGAAATTGTCGAAGAACAGAATTAACAAAAAAAATGAAAGAAAACACTTGCTGAATAAATGAATGACTGGGGTATGCCTACGTCAAGAATATCTTGTGGTGGATTTGGGGAACATAGGTGATGTCTAAAACTCAGTTTCACATGTAGTTTGTTCTACATGTGTCATAAGATATCTTCTCTCCATTACGTCAAGTCTTTAGCAAACTTTGTCAACACACATTCTCATAGAGATGCCTTGGAGACCATAACGGGATTCTTCTACTGAAATGGTAGGAGTCCTGAGAGGGCACCCACAGCTAGACTCCAAATGAGAGCTGGCACTGCTGCAGATGGAGCTGTGCGAGAGAATGAGTGTCTCCCTTGCCTTTCCTAGAAAACCTGAAGATTAGACCTGCTACAGGCTATGAACTTGAGGCTCATGCCATTCTACTGTGAATTAGAAGAAAAGATAACTTCCTAGGACTGAAGGAACTTCTGAATACAAAAGGGTAAAAGTTGCACTGCCCTTATTCTGAAGATGCATCCCCAGAACTGTGAAGAAATGTGTCACATTTCAGTAAAGGTTTGGGCAGAGGTGAACAGGTCAGCATTGAGGTGGTACTTTGCTACCTTCTAAGTGAACTCTAAGGAACAGGATACCTGTTTAGCCACCTGTATGGCCAAGGCTGGCTGGTTTCCAGGTGAACCCTAAAGGTCTCTGGCTGTATTTTTTCTCAATTAGGCTCATTGCTGAATTAAAAGAACTTGGATAGAATTTCTACTTTGGGGTATTTTTTCTCCCCTAAGGCATTGGATCATGACTATTCTAGAAAATAGGGAGCAGGGACTCATTCTTTAGGGTTTTTTAATTCAGCAATGAGCCTAATTGAGAAAAAATACAGCCAGAGACCTTTAGGGTTCACCTGGAAACCAGGCAGCCTTGGCCATACAGGTGGCTAAACAGGTATACTGTTCCTTAGAGTTCACTTAGAAGGTAGCAAAGTACCACCTCAATGCTGACCTGTTCACCTCTGCCCAAACCTTTACTGAAATGTGACACATTTCTTCACAGTTCTGGGGATGCATCTTCAGAATAAGGGCAGTGCAACTTTTACCCTTTTGTATTCAGAAGTTCCTTCAGTCCTAGGAAGTTATCTTTTCTTCTAATTCACAGTAGAATGGCATGAGCCCAAACTACTGAATTAGAAGCAATCTTTTAGTGTGGGTCTGTGTTCAATTTTAGATTTGAATGTCTTTCATTAAGAAATAGTGGAAGCTCTATTTTCAGTGAATAAATTCAAAATGTTTTGGTTTTGACATTACTTATATTTTAAGTTAAAGAAAACCCAAGGTTTCTAAAGACATTGTTAATATCTCTTCCCTGGAACTAGTGCCACACTAGATCTTCACCAAAAGGCCAAAAAGTGATTGGAACCAATGCTTAAAGCATGGTAAGCTTTTAAATATAACCCCCAAGGCACCTTAGCATAGTTTACACTTAAAGAGATGAATGTGATGGCATTTTCATTACTAGCTAGTATCATCCAGTCATCTCAAGATGCCCCAGCCCCATCCTGCTTCCCCATTGCTCTGATGTATCTAGAAAGGCAAAAATGACCCAGCAAACATTATAACAAGCATCTTTGATGGTTGACGCCAAACTGAAGGAAAAGATGAGGGGAGACTTTGTCTGGAAACACAGATATACAGCCAAAAGAAGGACAAATACCTGTCAGGCATTCTCTACAGAGGACCTGGTCAGGAGCCTAATCATCCAAAACAGATGATGGACAGAGGGTTTGAAGAGGAGAAGATGACATATTCCATCTGAGACTTTGGTTGTGTTCATCAGTTTATTCAGGAAGCATTTGTTGAGTCTTTTGAATAACAATTTGGGCTCTGTTGATTCAATAATTTCCCTTACTCTCTCCTAACTAATTCTTGGTAAGGCCAGGTGCCCAGTACATCTTTGTGCATCCAGTGTTATAAATAAGAATGTATTTGAGTGTTGATTTTTTCTTTTTCCCTCGCATTTGTGGCCACAAACCTCACTAGATAATCTACCCAAATGCTCTACTTAACATATACATTCAGGATGTTGCACTAATGCAGATTCACTACTCCCCAAAACATGTCCCTATACTCCAAGTGGAAAGACACTTTCCTTATAATCAAGGTTATTCAGTAAAAAAAAAAAAAAAAAAAAAAAAAAAACAACTAAATGCCCAAAAAGGAGCTGGATTAAGTGATGTGGATAGAGGAGTAGTCAAAGGAGAAATGGTTTGCCATGAAAGCACTGAATATCTAAAAAATGATCAAAAGTAATGCAATCATAAGTTACATAAACCTCTAAGAAAGAAAGTGTAGCCCAAAAATTACTCATTCCTCCGAAAAGAGTGAGCCTATGAAGAGTAAGCCAGCCAGGGGCAGCCTGGGAAGAGGGATGGAGAGTGAGCAGATGGAGAGTTAGCAGCGGAGAGTTAGCCACAACCATATATTGGAACTCTGGGAGCTAAGCACAAGCTTGCACACCAGCCTGCAGACCATGGGGTGAGATGGCATGTGCTAAAGCTGATGGAGACTACAGGCAGGCTTGAATGGCACATGGGTTATGAGAAGCTGTTTCTTTGTAAGTCACCCCTCCCAAATGTCATCTAAACCATGCAAAATTCAAATAGAAATGTGTTATGCAGATTTATTGATCTGCGTCAGTACCACAAGACCCTGAGTGAGTGAGGGCGAGTCAGAGAACGGGAAGGGGAAAATTCAGTGAAACATAAGAGAGAAATGAAACAATGAGAAAAGGAGGTCATCTCCTTGGGATGATCTGAGGAGGTGAACTCCATGTGAACTCCATGTCAGAAATCTAGAGAAAGCATCCTAGCAAAAGAAAAGAAGTCCATGTGTGGAGAGATACCTGCTCAGAGGTTTGTGTCTTCCTAGAAAGTGGAAATGCAGACAGAACTGGAGGAAGATGGAAGGTAAAGAAAGGTTAGAGATTACTTTGTTGGTTATATTGTCCTGGGTTTTTTTTTTTTTTCATGAAAGGAGTATTTGAACTTGTGTACATACTTTGAAAATTATTTCATAGATAATGATAGTTTGTATATTGGAGAAGGGAAAGAAGATAATGTAAAAAGGGCTGGGGCAAAAATAGGGAAACTGGAATGGTAATCTAGCAGAAAATGGATCAATATCTTTCTCCTCTGAAGATCCAATGAAGAGATAATGTAAATGTGGATGGAATTGTGTTTTGTGAAGAAGGGAGGTTGCATGGTGGAAGGAGGAACGACAGCTGATTTGCAAAAGGAAAAACATGACTTGATGAAAATATGTGTTTATTAGAGAACTAAAAACCTCTGGGAAATGTTGAATGACCATTTGAGTTCCAGGATCATTAGTGTAAAGCAGTGACTTTCAACCAGGGGTCATTTTGTCCTTCCCTTACCCATAGAGGCATTTGACAGTGTCTGTAAATAATTTTTGGTTGTTAAATGTAGAGTGATAGACTAGAAGACAGTACTGGTTTCCAGTGAGTAGAGGCAGGGATGGTGCTACACGTAAGACAACACGTGGAACAGCCTTACAACAAATAATTACTCAACTCAGAAGAGGAGCCAAAAATGAGAAATCCTGATGCAAAGTGACACTATATTTGTGTGTACACCATCTCTAGAAGGTTATATAACCAGTCATCCTCTGTGAAAGCATAATTACACATATCTTATCAGATAATAATTTTTCCCTTTGAATCCTTGACCTAGAATACCATACACATAACTACAAACAGATGGTTCTCAATTTCCCTCATTGTTTGCATTGAGAAAAGTATTGTTTGCAGTGCTTTGATGCTTTGATATATAAAACATTGCATGCACACATTCATACACTATCTCGGGTGGAAGAGAAAATGACTACAGGAGAGCGAAGAAGGGCCTAAAATGATGGGAAGATTTGCCACAGTTCTACTCACCTTTGCAAATTCTTCTCAAAGTGCTCCAAAGTCATAAATGAAGAAATCACAGCAAAAAGAAATAATAAGCAAAGAATTCACATCTTAGTGATTTCCAAAAACTATATTAATACTTTTCTGTATTCTACAATATAGCTTTTATTCATGTCTTCTCTTCATTAAAATGCACAAAACATAAATATTGATTGGATTAAAGGAAAACAGCTTCAGTAGCTGATAATCAATGAGTTTTGAGATTATTAGAGTTAATCACCAAGAAACATTCAAATATCTACCATCAAATGCAACACATATGTTTCTAATATGTACTTCATAATGTACACATTCTATTTATGTGACTCTAGAAGCTCTCTGTCTCTTTCTGTCTCTGTCTGTCTCTCTCTCTCTCTCTGAATGTGTATGGAATTGCAGGTGCTTGAGGAAGTCAGACACATTGGATCTACTCAGCGGGAGTTACAGGGAGTTGTGAATTGCCAGATGTGGGTGCTTGGAACCAAACTTGTGCCCTCTACAAGAATGCTGTGTAGAATGGACTGTATCCCAAACATCCCTCTCACTTCTTTGTTAGCATTACTGGGTGGCTCAGAAAAATACAGTTAAAGTAAAAATGCTACCAATGGGACACTAATCTAGTTCAGTCTCTAGCTTATCTATCAGTCAAGCTTAGCCATTTTTTTCCACCCCTTGTATAATCATATCACAACTATGTATCCAAAAGATAGCCTCCTCTGAGGTAGCAAGTAGTCTCATCCTGGGAAGTGAGTTTTAGTCTTTAATGGCTAAAACACTCTTGGCCACTTACTATAAGTCTAGAATATCAGACAGCTTCTTCTCTGAGCCTCTGCACCTTCACATGTCAGCCCAGAGCTTCACCTTTCTTCAGTCACCGTTCTCCTCCCATTTGACTCATATACCGGAGCCAATAGGGACCAGTCCATGGTGCTTTAGTGACATAAAGAATGGCTGACCTGTTGGACCTTGTGATCACAAGGTCTTTGTGGCTCATATGTTCTCAATTAATCTCAATTGGTCTTAAGAAGATCCTCATTCAAGACAGTTTTCCCAGTGACTATGATAAGGAACCATAACAAAATTCTAAAGTGCTTTTCTTAGAGCTTATATAAGCCAAAAAATGTCTTTGGTTCTTCAAAATTAACTAGAGAAAGTTGAGATATATTGACATATATATGGTCAGCACTTGTAAGATTAAATACTGCCCCCAGGTAGCTGCTGTGGGCCCACATCTGGCCAGTAGTGCAATAGTTCATCATCTTCTCCTCCATCAGCACCAGATCCTCAGGATACTTGGAGTTCCTCATGTAGACCTTGTGGCTTAGGGGCTGGTTGCTACAAGACTGACCTCGGAAGTATATTTTGGAATACACAAAGTACAATCCAGTGTCATTGATCACAAGGCCACCCTTCTTATACTTCACTCCAGAGATCATAGCAATTCCATACATGTCTTCCCACTCCAGAGGGGTGGACCTTGAGTTGGGCTTGCCTGTAATAGACCAGAGATGAACTTTCAGCCAAAAAACCTCATGCATCTGACAAACTAAGGTCCCAAGGCAAGACTATAGAGCCCTCCTTAATGAATGCTTTACCCAGAATTACATAGCTGATGCCAAACTGACTGAAGAATCAGAACTCCATCCAGGACTGGGTTCCTTCAACCTTTGTCAAATTGCCTGCCTCAATTTTATTATCCACACACTTGGGACAAATTTAAATGTGCCTTCAATCAATCTCAATGAAGATTACTAAGATAATTTCAGCTCTCTAGAATTAATATTTTATGATCTTCTAAATTAGCACTAAAACTGCTGGGCTTTGAGATCCCTCCATAAAGCTAAAAGTCACATCTAAGGAGCTCTAAAGTTGTACAGCCAGACAAAGTGTGAAGATTATCTGGTTCATCTTCTTGGTTAGTTTGGATTCCTGTGCCTTTCCGTTTGGGCTAAAATCCCTTTTCCTTTTTTATTTATACAGCATTATATGAATACACACAGCAAGTGCCCAGTAAATATTTGTGGACCCAGCTGACCCTTTCTGCAGTCTCTGCCTAAGAAATGACAAGTCACAACACACCTCTTCTAAAGATGTTTATCTACTTTTCAGATATTTATAGTTTATAGTGGAAAAGCCTATGCCACACTGTACTAAGTTGCTTCTCTTACCTCTATAATTACAGGCTAAAAGCTCACAAGTGCCAGAACAGTCTCTTACTACTCAAAAATAACTCATCATTTAATCCTTTCAGCACTTCTCTTGGACCTGTGTCACAAGTCCCCTTGAGGTCTTTGGAATGGTTAAAAAAAAAAAAAGTGAGTTCTTCATGGGCAAGATCAAGTCTCACACAGCTCCATAGTTCTAATTTAGGATTTATAGATTAGGATCATGAGCTCCAATGTCACTGGAAAAATTTGAGTGCTCTTGGGTTCTAAATACACTTGTCAGAAACTAACACCTTCCCAGAGCTGTCCATGGAAACCCAAGCAGTCAGTCCACATTTCTCCAAAGGCTTTCCAGTTCCCACCTAGTCCCCGAGACACAAACCTGTTAAATGTGCCACACTCCTTTGTTCCTTCTTTTCAGAGGGTGGAATGGGATGATCTGCATCATAGAGAGATAAAAGACATGTGAAAATGATCTTCATAGATGCCAACTATTATTTCAGAGAGTTTCTAAATTCCACCACTAAATACAAGATTTTCAAAGCATAAGTGATAATATTCTCATCTCTAAACTACAGGACTCATAGGAGTCTAGATTTCAAAACCATGTTAAAAATGAGCTAGGTAAAGAGCGATAGATGCATAAATTATGCTACAATAAAATATAATTAGTGTAAATGTTGATGCATAGTACTGTCATTCTAGTTACACTATATAGAATGTGTTTCAGTGCTTTCAGGGAGAGATTATCGCCTGACTCTAAACCCAGGGTTCTGTCCACATTGACTCTGCTGTCTGACAGAGTCTATAGAAGACTGCTGATGTGTCTTCTGGCCATCAAGCCTTTCTCTTAAGACATTCTACAATCTGTCCCAAAATTGATAATACTAAGGCCTCAAAGAGTCACCTCATACAACTGAAGTTTCAAACATCTTCGATGACTCCTCACAAAACATGAGGTTGTACAGTAGATTATTCCATCATGTAGACTTGGCCTTAATTCCCCTACATGTGGCCCCAGTCTTACTTCCTCTTCCTCTACTCCATCACATAGATACTAGCATGCAACAGGAGTTCTATGACCTGAATATGTCCTTTCTTTCCTGCTCCTGGGCCTTTGCTCATGCTGTGCCTTCTGTCTAGAATGTCCTCCCAAGGAGAGCTCTGTGTCAAATTCCAATCAGTCCTCTAAGCACCATTTGGAACTACTCTTTTTCGGGGGAAACCCTTCTATACCTTTTGTCAAAATGATCTTTCAACCTTTGGAACCTATGATCCCTTTGCCTTTGCCACTCTTGATAGTTCTGACTTGCCCTTGCTGAGGTACCTGTAAAAAGCTGTCTTACTTCCTTCTCACCTAAGTAAATGGAAAGTTCCTTACTACCTGGTAAAGTCAAAAAAGTGTTTAGCCCTGCTTCTGACACAGAACATGCCACCAGAAAATGTTTCTAGATAAATTGAATGCATTAATATTGATAATTTCTTCTGAAAATAGACACTATTTTCTCTAACTTCAAATATTTCAGCCAAGATAGACACTTACTACTTGGCTTCATAAATTCAGCTAAGACAGTGAAGAAAGATTTATAGAAAGGTGCCTGCCCATCTCAGGCTTGTGATTAGCCTATTAAACTTACAATGGGTGTGAAAATAGCCTGGTCTACTAGGAATATTATCTGAGCAATCATGACCTCTCTAGTATCCAAGACAGCTCACCTTGAAGTAAGTGTGAGTTAACAGGAAAGGCAAAACTGAACCTTTTCTACATTCCTATACCACAAACCATCTGAGCATCTGACCTGGCATTCTGCCATGTACTAACAGGAAATGGAGCAGAGAACCACACAGTGCTTATCTTTATATTCTTCACAGAGTCTAGTATATTGTTATTTTCATGAAAGATACTCCCATAAATATCTGCTGAATAGATATTAGGAATGTATCCAAGATGTGAGAAATTAGTTTTCTTGCCCCAGGGTCTTTGCACATACCATCCTCAATATGTATGCCCTTTGTACTCCGCAACCCAAGCACAAAGTTCTCTTTGAAGGGCTCTTGACCCCTCACACATCATCATAAGCAACCTTAAAAAGAACTTTTCCAGACCAATTTACTTTGAAACACACACACACACACACACACAACACCCCCTCCTTCTATACTCATCTACCACTGGACCCTAGATTTAAATCTCACACACACACACACACACACACACACACACACAGCAATCATTCTAGAAAAAAATTCTAGTATGTGAAATTATGTTGTTGGCCTGTTTCTACTTACCTTTTCCACTACATTAAAAACTCCATGAGAGTAAGTTCCTTATCTTTCTCATTTTCAAAGAGGTCTCTTCATCTCTCTTATTTTCAATCACCACCCTACACCCAGCCTCAGTCATTAGAGGTTCTCTAAGTACACTTGTGTATAAATAAAACATTTAATCAGATAACTGTGGAAAAATAGAAGTGAAAACATAAATTTTAAAGGTTCAGGAGAGAACCAACTTCCATAAGCTGTCCTGATCTCCACATGTGCCATGGCCTGTGCTCGTGCGCATACACACACACATACACACACACACACACACACAATACTTTTTAAAAGTATTTTAAAAGGAATCTATAATAATAACACCCAGAAAAACTTCATTTACTATGCTGGTGTGCACATGTCCTTTTCTTAGAAGACAAAAATGTGTACATATCCTTCATAGAATATTAAAATAAATATGGCCTTTGGTAACTTGTCTCTTTATCTAATCCTCATGGGATTAAAGGTCAACATGGTTTTAATTGTTGTCCACCATGCTCTCCTACAAATATGCCACAATGTATTCAACTCACCTCCTGTTCTGAGGCAGTTTTCTTCTGAAGTGTTTGTTATAAATAGCAATATGAGAAAATGATAAGCCTTCTTATAGATAAATCTTTGACTCCATCTCCAAACATTTTTTCCTAAGAATTGTTTTCAGTGATGAGAGTTCAAGGTAAACTAACAATTCAAGCACCTGACATGAATTTTTAAACTGTTCTTCAAACAGGTATAGCAATTTCTATACTTACTAGCTGAACATATGCCTAAGATGGTCATTTTTCCTCTCAAATATTCTGTAATTTTTGTTTTTTAATGTTTGTGAATTTTATGGATGAAAGTGGTATCCCCTTTGTTTAAATCAGCAGCTCTTATAATAAATAAGTAAAGTTGTTATTTTCATTTTCATGTGATAGTTCACCAATTTCTGGCCCATCTATGATGATCTAGTGAACATAACTATTTACTGAGGTAGGCAGACCTGAGTCATCTGTTCATTTGACTTTTGATCACTAAAATGACTCCATAGAGTAGGTGAAAATGAGTAATTAGCACCAGTTTCATCAGCCACAATCCACTGATTTTTAGAAATCCTGAGAGGTTTCATTTTTCTAACGAGTATTTCCACCCTACCTGTTTGTAATCTGGTCTTTCTGGTTCTTAGAGACTTGAGTCCAGAGTTGAACACAGCCTAATGTTGGCTCCTACAAGAGGCCCCATTCTCAGGCAGGAGCTGGTTGCCCACTTTCTGAGATAGAACCAGCTCTGACCAATCTATTGCCTTCTGCTTTCTGAAAATGTTTCTAAGGCTAAGATTTACCTATTGCCTTTGCATGGCTGACCTGCTTTGCATGGTTGTTCTCATTCCAGAACCATGATAGAGGTAGATGTTTCTGTATTTCACAAGGTACCTATCCATGCATTGGAAAGCCTGTAGGTAATAGGACGCCAGGAGCCTGTTCTCTTAGATTCAGTTCCACACCAGTAGTCTTGGGCATTGCACCTAATTTTTCTAGTGTTATGTATCTCTTCTGAAAAACAAGATGGCTGGACACTATAAGAGCTTTTCACACTCAAACCAAATCTAAAAATTCTATAAATCTGACTCCAAGGTGAATTTTAAAGTATATCCTAAAATCTGTTTACATGTTTCAAAACTATGTCCTGAAATCTCATGTTCAACATGAATGTCTTCCTCTTGTCTGGACTTATACCAAGGGAGGGGGCAATATTCATTGTCATCAGAGGCAGCCTAAATCCTCTATGGTGAAGCTAAGCCATGCTGTAAATAATGGCTAAAGTTCTCCCCTAACCTTCTCATGATTTCAGAAGAAACATATTAATGCAGGCAATGGATTATCAACTTCTTAAAAATATCATCCTATCTTACAAAAAATTTAAAATAAAGCTTAACTCTTAAGTAATCACTTATATAACTTTGAAAGAGAAGAGGACATCCCCAGAAATATTTGTCTGTCTCTAATCCTCTTTTGTCCCTCAGGATCAGGATGCCTGAGGAAGGGCCATGAGATAAAGGTTCAGGCTACATGTGCATCTCTTTCCAAAGTCAAGGAGAAATTTATTTGAGTAACGTGTGGTGCTCAGCAACACTAAACAATTAACTTTACTCCATATTTTAACATAATTCATGGAACCTTTGTTCTGTGTTCAAAGTTACACAGGATTTCTTGCCTAGCAATCATATATCCTAAAATGGGACAGAATTCCAGCCATCCTACCAACTTCATTCAGCACTAAGTATCACCTCTGGGGACGCAATAAATATGCATAAAAGGGACCTTACCTATTTGCTTTTCAAAAGATGATGCTGTATGGCTTTGGTTGGTGGACTAGTAAAAGAAAAAAGGTTATACAGTAAGTGTGGAGTTCTTTAAGCAAAGGAGACAGAAACGACAAACCAACCCCTGGAAAGAAGATTGAAATCCTTCAAATCCTTGTCTAACTTAGATTTTGACCAAACAATGGTGACTTAGAATAGTACTAAAATTTTTAAATCTTTTCAAGGAAATTTAGTTGGCCATTTGAGCAAATAAACTCGAGAAAGACTCAAATTTGGTTTTATTCCTTGAATTACTAGCTTTGAGGCAGAAAATAACTCAACAGACTGGCTTGACAACTGAGAAAGGAGTAACTATTTGCCTCTGATTCTCTCCAGGATGGAAAATATTCCCTTTACAGGAATGAATATTGGTTTCCCTGACTATAGACTAGAGTTGACTAGAACAACACTTTCCTCAGACAGAAGTTGGGCTTAAAAAGAACATTGTGAAACAAAACCCAAATCTTTACAAGCAAATCAGTGGCCCACATGGGCCTCAGCAGCCCCCAGCCCCATGCAGCAAAGCTAGCTTGCACCCAAGGTCTCCAGGATTCAACAGTCTACCTGCCAGGCTTACCTCTCGGAGTTCTGCCAGCTCCTTCTGCAGATGGAAGAGCTGATACATTCCTATCCCCAGTCCAACCAGAGCCACCAGAACCATGAAAGTCATCATCAGAAGCCATAGTTCTGTGTGGTGGTCCTTCCTCTTCTGTAGAGGTGGCAGTGAAGGCAGTGGTGGGAGTGGTGGAGGTGGCAATGGCGGCGGAGGTGGTGGTGGTGGTGGCCTCCTTTGACCCGGCCTTCCAGGCACAGAGGATGGACAGGGAAAAACTGACCCTGAAGGGGCCCAAGGAGAGGTGGCACTACCGTCCACCCAGTAGACTTGGGGACATGGGTAATTCAAGGGCTGCTGCATGGCAGCCAGCCCCAGGAAAATTTTCCTTCCCTCAGTCTCGTGGAGGCTGAAGTGTCAAGGACCAGACTCTTGTTGCTGAGTGTTCCAGAGAAGGTAAGTGTGCTCTCTTTATAAAGTTTCCACAGCCAAGGGAAACACCTCTCTCCTGTGTTCTCTCTTTTTGCTTCACCGTGAGACACCCACTCACTTTGCATCTGAACCTGCGAAGCCTCAAGATACTCACAGCAACCCCGGGGAAGTTTCCGCCCACAAATTTCTGATGAAAGGCTTCAAAACTCCAATTCCTGTTGCCTTGCTACCTGAGAAGGCTGGCAGACTGGGCTCGCCTGCCTGAGGTTCCCCTCAGCAGGTCAGCGTCCCTACACCCTGAGGACATTAGCTATTTTCCACCTTCAAGCAGTGGCCTGTGGGATGTGTTAAAAGTCAGGCACTAAGGGGAGAGGCCATGGAGTTCGAGCAGAGAAGCCATCTCCACATCTTAGCTTAACTTAATCCGCTGCTGCCTTTTCCCGCACCAAAATACTACTTATCCTGACCTTGCAGATCAAAGCATTTCATAATTTATGAGTGAAAAACCTGTCCCACCAGCAGGAAGAATGTAAGAGCCTGAGCTGGTGGATGACCACAAGGAAACAGAGTTTTCCAAACAACTGGTCAGTTACTTATAGGAACCTACAGCAATGGTGGCAGCACAAACAAGTCCTATGCAAGCTCAAACCAGACAAAATCCCAGCATAGACATGGGGAAGTGGGTAAGAAACCCTAACCCAATTTAAGGAACTTTCAGCAACCAATGGCTGCTGGGAATCTCTTAAAGGGATAGGACTTTTGGTAGGGTAACCAGGCTCCAGTGGATGGACCCACAATGAAGGACTTTAAAGGACATAAATTACACTCTATAGACCTTAGTGTGTGTGTGTGTGTGTGTGTGTGTGTGTGTGTACTATAACAACAGTGGAGTACATTAAATTTGGAGTGGGGCAATGGGGGAGGGGGCAGATGGGGAGGGGATCAAAATACCATCAAATTATATTGTATGAAAATCACAAAAATGCAATAAACATATTAAAAGTAAACCTCTGGCCCACCCATTCTAGAGATTACATCGGAGTTTACAAAGCACTGGCCTATGTGTCTTGTGGAACCCACGAAACTACTTTGTTTGTATCAGCTATGTTTTTTGTCTGTTGACTATCTAGTTGTATATTTGAGATCATGCACATTAAAAAAAAAAGCATTGCATCAGGCATGGTAGTAATCACCTTTAATCCCAGTCCCTGGGAGACAGAGGCAGATGAATCTCTGTGAGATGGAGGCCAGCCTGGTCCACATAGTGACTTCCAGATGGGCTGGGGCTAGGGAGACCCTGTCAAAACAACAACAGCAGCAGCAGCAGCAGCAGCAGCGCACATTGCTCTTCTGTCTGAAAACACACTAGAATATTAGATACCTCCACACCATTGCTGAACACTAGTCAGCTGCCACCAGGAATGAGTCATATGTGCTTCAGGCTGTCCCACCTCTACCCCCTCCACATTCCCTCCCACCCTACCTCCCTTAGGAAGTTGCCTTCCTGGTCTCTACAAGCATTTCTGTTTGCAGCCCATTACAGTCACCAAATGAAATTCAAGGTGCCCAATTCCACTGAGTTTTGGATCGGCACTAAGTAATTTTTAGAGCAACTGTGCCCTAAAGTTTACATAGAACATACTAAAAATATATTCATCATTTAGCAAACTCACACTTAACTGTGTATCTTATGCCTTTCTTCCTGGGTTAACTTCACCCTTTCTTCTGGCTACACCTAACAGTTATGTCCAATAACTTCCAAGAACTGAGCTTCGGTTCCAATAATTTCCCCATAGAAACCATATAAATTTCAATCAGTTCCCACGTTCCACCTTACTTGTAAGCTCTACATTTCTAACTTTATTAGTTTTCCATATCATGTGTTGGGATTTCTGGGACTACCATACTGTTATTTCCCTAAGGATTTCTGTCCTCCCAATTCCCACTGACAATGCAACCTCTTTCTCTTGAGGTCATTCTGCTGGCAACGTCCTTCCATTTTCCTTTGCGCATGGACTGTTCATTTCACTGAAGACATGTTTCTTCTCCTCCCCTCTCTCAATATTCCCACAGTTGCCCTCTCTGTATCAGACTGGTCTCTCTGTGCTTCCTTATGTCAGACATCCACAAAAATTTCTGGCATTCTTCAATAATAATCATTCCATATTTACACATCTCCCTCTGACCTGCTTCTTTTTTAATTCATTCTGTGGTGGAAGAATCAGAAGCCTACACCTATACTAACCCCCACTGACCCCCGAACACATGGAAATGTCCTAGCTGAAAGAGACAAGAGAAACTTCTGGACACTAGAATGGAGTTCAGCGATGTCACCCAGCATCACACATTGGCGGGATCATGAATGAATAAGCATTCTTATGAACACTCATAGGGACCCATCATGTTCGAAAGCAAAAACTTATTAGGAGAAATCATCATTCAAAGTAGAACATAGTTCTGTGACTGAAGAAGAAGAAAAAACTATGCAAGAGTCAACAGGATAACAGTTCTTACGTGTAGGAGAACTCTCTAACCCCCTGATTTACACCCAGGGTTCTAGCAGGAAAGTTGACTCAGTAGATCATAGGCCAGAGGGTGGTACGTGGTCAAAGAACCAGTTGCTCACCTTGATAAACTTAGAGAAGCCCAAGGCCAGCAGCCAGGTAACCAGGAAGACTAAACATGATGAATGCAGTATACACTGAGCTGGAGTTTGCACAAGCCCACAGATTTAATTTCACTAAGTGTTTTGAGGATGGCCATTTAGGAGTTCAGTCCCTTGACACCACTAGTAATTGAATAAGGACCATTCTATCCCATCTTTATCTCTGCTTGGTAATATGCCTTTCTAATTTGTGTCAAGTATTGTACCTGTAAAGGTACATCTCATGTCTACTAATTTTCTTCCCCTCTGGTTTCTTGTGAATTTGAACATCTGTCACATACTTGGGCAATCAGTTCTCCTTTATGCACATTTTCTGTTGATCTCTTAAAAGTTGTCTATCTCTTTTGCACTAATTTGTAGGATTTTCTTGTATTTTCTGTTTCAGATGTCAATCCACAGCTGTTTTTAGACATTACAAGTATCTTATTTCATACCAATACAGGATTCACATTTGGGCTTTAATCTATCTGAAACTCACTTTCATTTTTGAGTCGAGACTCTCTTTAGATCTCTCTCTCTCTCTCTCTCTCTCTCTTTCTCTCTCTCTGTGTGTGTGTGTGTGCGTGTATATGTGTGTGTGTGTGTGTGTGTGTGTGTGTGTGTGTGTCAAAAGAACTGAGATAAATCAATTTAAAAGGTGGGAAGATTGATTTGGCTCATGAATTCAGAGGCTTCATTCCATGGTTTGTGGCAAGTTAGAACATCATGCAGGGAGCTGGTCAGAGCAAAGCTGCTTACCTCATGGTGGCCAGTCAGCATAGAGCTTGCTTTCCTAACAAAGCTCCTTCTCACAGGCCCATTAAGCTATGAATCCTTACATGGATTAGTTATATTTGAGTTCAGGTCTTAATGATCCAATCATCATTCCCTAGAGGCCCTACTCCCAAACGCTAATGCTTTGGAGACCATGCTTTGGAGACCAAGCTTCCAACACATGAGCTTTGGGGGTGATGGGCCATTTAAAATCCAAACCAGGGGCTGAAGAGATGACTCAGCAGTTAAGAACTTGTATTAATCTTTCCGAGAACCTAAGTTCAGATCCCAGCATCCTTGTCAAGTAGCTTACAACCAGCCATAATGCTAGTTCCAGAGGAGCTGATACCCTCCTCTGGCCTCCACAGATACCTGTACTCATGTACACACACTCACACAGAGACATGCATGCATACACATAATAAAAAACAAAAATGTTTAAGATCTAAACCAAGTATGGACAAATTTTATCAACACAGTACATTTTCCATTGAATTCCAGTGACATATTCATCACAGTTTCTATGTATATTTGAACTGCTTTCTAGATTCTTGTTCTTGTTGCAGTGATCTGCTTATCTATCCTGGTGCCAAAATATCATAGTTATCATAACTATGGCATTGCGGTACCTTTTTTTCTTTTTTGAGACAGAGTATCTCTACATAGCCCAAACTGGTTTCCAACTCACTATGCAGCCCCTGGCTGGTCTTCAGCTCATGGCAATTCTCCCACCTCAGCTTCTCCAATTCTATGATTACAAGTGTTCACTACTATTCCCAGAAACTTTGTAGATGTCTTGATGGTTGGACAAAGTCCCCTTCCTCTTTGCTCCTTTTAAAAAATTATAACAACTATTTATGCTTATTTAATCTCCCTGAGATGCCAGTGGGGAGAACTAACATATTCCTAACAGATCCTGCTGGACTGGACTAGTAACTATGATTGAAATAGTTGAGAGACGTGTTATACTTAATAATGTGTGTGTGTGTGTGTGTGTGTGTGTGTGTGTGTGTCTGTGCATGTGTGTTAGTAAAGAAATTAGCATTTTTCTTCATGGGAATGTTTAGAACTAGCTTCTACCTTAAATTTGATAAGACTAGACTCCAAGTGAAAAGGAGTTTGATGTCTTCTAATGTGAAAGGACAAGTTCAAGGAAAATCTATCAATATCAAGTGTAACTCTTGTTTCTCATCACACTAGACTGAAGGGGAAAGTCAAGAGGCTGTGAAAACAGTAGCAGTGAGGTTAAAATTATCTTTTAACTCTGAGACCACATGAAACTGTATCATTATGATCCCAGGATTCTTTGCTTTCCTTCCTTAGCCTGTGAATATCAGTGACGGGCTGATCAGGAAAACAAAAGCTACTCAAAATACGCAGGCAAGGAAAGCCTTAATATAGAAATAGAAGAAATCACAAAGACCTATTTTTAAAACCTTTCATGAGCAAAGCTCATGCTCCAACCAACAATTCCAGTTCCCAACAACACTGAAATTGGTGATGGCTGGGAGGA